GCCCACACCCATGAGCAGTCTCTGCCACCCCCCATGCCAGCCCCCTACGGCCACTCTCTGTCTCTGTGGATGTGTCTGTTCCGGACATGTCACGTAGATGTAATCACACAGGACAGTCGTCCCCCTTGCCTGGGGTTTCACTTTCTGCGGTTTCGGTTACCTGCGGTCACCCCATCACACGGGCATCATCTCAGCGCAGGAAGGTATTCCCACAGGGAGACCACACCCACGCAGCTTTTGTCTCACTGCGGTGTTCTAATTATTTTATTTCATTACCCTTCCTGTGCCTAATTTATAAATTGAATCTGGCGTAGGTCTGTATGTATAGCAAGCACGCGGTACGCACGGGGTTTGGTTCTAGGCACGGGTAAGGCACCCGCTGGGGGGCGTGGGTGCACCCCGGATAAAAGGGAATGCCCTTATGTGTCTGTGGCCTCTGGCTTCTTACACTCAGCACGATGTTTCTGAGGCTCATCCTGTTACTGTCTGAACCGATCTTTGTTTCTTCCTGTCTGTTTCTCCCATCGCCAGCTCCGTGAGGGGTTTTTGTCCCCAGCGCCCCAGTGTACACTGCCTGCACACAGCAGCTGCTCAGGAAACACCAGGGGAAGAGAAGGGCCGAGGCCCCGCATTGAGCCCTCCCTTCTCTCCCTGAGTGTGCAAGAGAGATTCTTCACGGCGGTTAATGTCGTCAGAGGCCAGGGCAGGCCCCCGATGGCCACGGGTGCCTGGGGACGTCATGATCTCACACCTGTCACGCCTAGATCCATCTTCTCCTCCTCAGGACATCGCGGACAACTTTGCGGTCAGGCTGCTCGCGTTTTGCATTATGATCACCAAAGAGATAATGACTCCTCAGGCCAGAGATATACAAGTATTTTCTCATGTCATAAACATGTACACAAATGGTCACCTTCCTCGTATGTTGTCCTGAATCTTGACTTCTTTATATAATATTATGTCTTGGAGAACATCGCATTGAAGTAACAACGAGTCGATTTGTCTGGGGTTTTTTTGAAATTGAGGTGAGATTCACATGACATGAAGTTAACCATTTTAAAGTGAACAGCTCTCTGGCGTTTAGCACGTTCATGACCTTATTGATGCAAACTTCACCTCTGTTTAGCTCCAAAACATTTTCATCACCCCAAAAGGAAAGTCACTCCCCACCTCCCCGCCCCAGCCCTTGGCAATCAGCAATCTGCTTTCTGTCTCCGTGGAAGTGCCTTTCTGGACATGTTACACGAGTGGAACCGCACGCCGTGTGGCCCCCGTGTCTGGCGTCGTGTGTTCAGGGTCCGTCCACGTCGGAGCGAGGGTCAGCGCTTCTCATGGCTGAGTAACATTCCATCGTCTGAGTGGACCCTGTCTTGCTTCTCCATTCATCCATCGATGAATGTTCGAGTTGTTTCCAACTGTTGGCTGCCGTGAAGTGTGCTGCTGTGACCACGGGTGTACGTTCCTGTGTTCTTTACACAACTCTGAGATATTCTACCACATGGAGACTCCACAACATATATCACCAGCCTTTCATACCTAGCCGTTTGTATTTCTACAGCCTTTTTGCTCTTTAAATAGCGCTGCAGTGACCGGCCTTCGTGTGCAGTTTAAATGTCTGTTGGGTGAATAATTCTTTGACGTTTCTAATTTACCTCGGTGTCTCCTCACGTGGGTGGTCTCGGCCCAACCGAAGTCCGTGGGAGCAGACGCCCCCGAATATCCAGTGTGGGAGCTCCTCGCAGCTGGCCCTGGGCCTGGCGGGAAGGACGCCTTGGATGACATTTTTAGTATTTTTTTTATATTTCATCATAAATTTCACTTTTGGGGGAATAAACAATTTTGGTGTATATTGTACACTTTTTCCCTTTTTAGCTTGCCAAAGTAAACCTTCACTTATAAAACTGATTCACCGTAGGAAAAATTTCTCTTTAGGCTGATAAAATACTATCACCATGGAACACATATTTGGAAAAGTGATGAAGACTTTTGAATGACTAATACAAACGGACGTGTTAGGAACAAGACCTATGTCTATGTAGGAAATGGGAAACTATTTGCTAATAAGTCATTTTCTCCTTATATTTTATCTTTAGTAATACCTGGAACCTGAATGAATTAGCCACAGAATATTTTCAAATTGCCCGTTTCAAGAAGTACACTTTTTCCATACATAGTCCAGTTCGGATTTTTTTTTGGTGTACAGTTCTACGAGTTTTGGCAAATGTGAGAGCCTGTGGCCACCAACATGGTCAGAAACAGTACGTTTCCATCACCCACAAATTCCCCCAGGATTCCCTGCGTTAGCCGACCCCACTTCCTGCCACAGCCCCTGTCCTCCGTCACCATAGTTTTGCCTTTTGCAGAAAGTCACGTAAATGAAAGTGTAGAGCACGTGGCCCTTAGAGTCTGGCTTCTTCCATCAGAGTCATGCCCCCGGGGACACGCTCACGTCGTGTCAGGGGTTCCTTCCTCTGTGTCGCCGTGTGGATGTGCCACAGGGCGGTGAGGGGCAGGGGGTGAGCACGTTTCCTCACCTGCAGAATCGCATACGGATTCGGATCCTATACTCTAACCATTTAAGGGACTCTTCTGGAAAGCCACAGACCGCGCACTCCGTGCACTTCACGACTGCTCTGTGATCTGGCAGCTTTCCAGGCAGACGTGTCGGGTGGTTGAGGTCGGCCTCAGCCTCGGCCCTGCGGTCCCTTCGCCTGTTGTCCTAAGGTCTCCGCTTTGTGCCTTGCAGCCCTGTGAAGAATGTTCTCCGCGGACCGGGCAGGCCCGAAATCCCAACGACTCAGGAAGAGGAGGCTGAGCACCCCGAAGTAGACATTAATATAAAGAAAGGTACGTGGTGGGGGAGAGTGGACGCACAATGGGGCCAGGGTTTTCCCTAAGGCGCCCTGGCCGTGGCCGAGGCGCCTGAACCCCGGTCAGGGGCTGCCCTCCACACCGGATGGGGGGGTGCAGGCTGCTCTTTCAAAGCCTCATTTGTGTGATCTGTACCCCGGCAGCACTGGTGATAGCACCCCGCTATTAGAATGGCGAGTCCATGCGGGAGGAACCGTATGTATACATCAGATGTAGTTGTGTATACAGTGCAGACGTAATAATATACACACACGTACACAGTGCAGATGTAATTATACGTATTGAGAGTGTAATGATACATATAGTGCAGACGTAATTGTATATATGGCACAGATGCGACAATACATATATACTGTAGACGCGGTAATAACGATTTGCTGTCATCGTGCCGGCACCATTTTACTGCGGTACTGGAACTCGGGAACATCGCGATAAAGGGCCTTCCTTCTCTCTCACGGCTGCCCTTTTCCAAGCGGCTAAGATAGTGAGAAGAATAACTTTTACAGTCGTTCTCAAATAGTAATAATCGTCGAGATCTCATTTTGGTCCTTGTGTTGGATTCCCTGGCTGCCGTAACAAAGCCCCAGACTGGGTGCCTGAGACAGCAGAAACTGACTGCACCCTGGTTCTGGAGGCCATTGGCCCAAGCCCGAGGTGTCGCCGGGTTCTCGGGACGCAGAACCTCCCCGCTGCCGGTGGCTGCTGGAAGTCTCGGTGCTCCGGGGCCTTCTACTCTGTGTTCGTGGGGCCTCCCACTCTGTGCATTTCTACGTCCTCCCCTCTTCTGACGACACCAGTCATCGGATTTAGGACCCGTCCTCAATCCAAGGTGACTTCGTCCTGAGATCCTCTACTGGTTTCACCCGCAAAGACCCTAGTTCCAAATGAGATCACTTCCCGAGAGTCTGTGTATGAATTTTGGGGGGACACTGTTCAACCCACTACAGTCATTAAAATACCCGACCAGTATCCAGGTGACACCCCTCCACGAAGCCCAGTTTAAAGCTCCTCCCCTCCCCCCAGGCTGCAGGCTGGACGCCTAGAGCAGGGCCGTGAGGGAGGCCGTGCGAGCAACTTTCAGGTTTCCTCCACGACACTCCCTCATGGCGGCTCCATAGGTGATTGTAAGCTGGTGTGACACTCTCTGCTGATTCTTCTTGTGGAGGGACCTCTACCAACCAGCCTTCCCTTCTGTAGGTTGTTATGGGTCGAATTGTGTCCCTCTCCTGCGGTCTGAATGTTTGCATCCCCACACTCATATGTTGAAACCTACACCCCCATGTGACGCGCTTGGCGGCAGGGACTCTGGGCGGTGATGAGGTCCTGAGGGTGGAGCCCCTGGATGGGATCAGGGTCCTTACGCAGACCCCACAGAGCTCGCTGCCCCTCCCTCCCAGTGAGGGTACAGTTGGAAGATGTCTATGAACCAGTAGGCAGGGTGTCAGACCTGCTGGCGATTTGACCTTGGACTTCCCGGCCTCCAGAAGTGTGGGAAATAAATGTCTGTTGTTTCGAAACCGCCTGTTTATGGCATTTTGTTAGTAGCCCAAATGGACTAAGACATCCCCCCAAATTCATATGTTGCGCCCCTAACAGTTACCAGGTACCTCATGGCTGACAGGATGAGTCTTAATCCAATATGACTAGTGTCCTTACAGAAAGGGGAAATTTGGACACAGACACACACGCAGGGAGAATACCACGTGACGGTGAAGGCAGAGATCAGGGTGATGCTTCCACATGCCAAGGAACGCCAAAGATGGCCAGAAAGTCGCTGGTCACCAGGAGGTAGGGGAGAGGCCCAGAATAGATTCTCCGTCACAGCCTCTGAAGGACCCAACCGGCTGGCACCTGGACCTCAGAATTTCATCTCTAGAACTGGGAGAGACTAAATTTCTGTGTTTCAGCCACCCAGTCTAGGGTATAGGCACACTTCATTGCATTGTGTCTCGTTTTGTGCACTTCTTAGAGACTGCCTTTTTTACAAATTGAAAGTTTGTGGCAACCTTGCTTCGGGCAAGCCTATCAGCACAATTTTTCCAGCAGGCTCAGATGATGGTTAGTATTTTTTTTTCTTAAAGCAATAAAGTACTTTACAATTAAGGTATGCGCATTGTTTTTTAGACACCATGCCACTTAATTCTGGGCTGTGGACCGCTCACGCAGATGGAGAAGTCCTTCTGAGGCTGTCGAGACATGGGCCAGGCCACGAGACCCCAGTAACCATCCCCGAACTTTTTCGGGAGTCAGTCAACCGATTTGGGACTTATCCGGCCCTCGTATCAAAGAGCACCGAAAACTGGGAAATTCTTAATTTCAACCAGTACTACGAGGCTTGTCGGAAGGCTGCGAGAGCCTTGATCAAGGTAAATGAGTCATTTATTCTTCCTTCCATCTTTCCTTCCTTCCATCATCACTCATTCATTCATTCAGAATAGGAAATGCATACATACATACAGAAATAGACACATACACATATATATGTACAAAATGCACAAAGCGCCACAGATACAAAGATTTACTGGTGAAAATTGCCCTCTGGTCCTTGACCCCCACCTTATGGAGATGGCAGCCACCACCGCTAGTTTTTATATATCCTTTTGGGGGAATAAATTATGTGTATATATTACATAATTTCTCTATATGCACATTTTTACGCACATGGTAGCATACTATATCCACGATTCTGCGTTTTGTTTCTTCCCTCTGGCATAGTATCTTTATGTATTAGTTAGCTACTTAAGTATAACAAACCAACCCCAAATGTAGTGACTTAGAATGACAAACATTTATTATCTCACAATTTCTATGGGTCATGAGTCTAGGAGTGACTTAGTTGAATATTTCTGGTTCCGGGTCTCTCGTGAGGTGGCAGTCAGGCCGTCGGCCGGGCTGCGTCACCCGAAGGCTTGGCTGGGGCTGAAAGCTTCACCGCCAAGCTTTTCACATGCCCGGCTGTTGGCAGGAGGCCTCAATTTCTTGCTCGTAGCTTTCTCCATGGGTTGTCATTGAGACAGTCTCACCACATGGCAGCCAGTACCCCCTGGGGTGAGTGATCCAAGAGAGTGTGAACCGGACGGGAGCCGTGGTGTCTTTTATAACCTAATCTCAGCAGTGACACGCTATCGCTTCCTCCATATTCTATTGGTTACGCAGAACACCCTCGATACGATGAGGGAGGGAATTACGTAAAACCACAAACGTCAGCTGAGAATCGTCAAGGGCCGTTTGGGAGGCCGGCTCCCACAGTCTGAGAGCCTTCATTGAACAAAATCCATGTTCTTTTCAACAACTGCAGCTGTGCACGTAACAGCGCTGACTTAACCGGCCCCTACCGGTGGGCGTTTCTACTGTTTCTAGCCTTTTGCTGCCTTGCGTGGTGCCACGGCGAACCTCCTTTGCGGAGTGAGTTCTTACAAAGAAAGGTCGCTGTGCGCCCACTCGCAAAGTATGACAGTCTGCGTCATATCATCGAAAATGTTCATCTTGGCCAGTCTGATAGGCAGAATCCTAAGACGGCAGATCCCAGGCCCTGGTGTCTTCATGCTGAGTGCCCTCTGCTGGAGTGTGGATGAGACTTGAGACTTGTGCCTAAGAGTGGGCTTCCCCCCTGTGGTGGTAAAGGTGAAGAGATTTAGCAGATGTCATTAAAGTCCCTAATCAGTTGACTTGGAGTTCATCGAAAGGGCAAGTGCTCTGGGCGGGTCTGACCTAATCAGGTGAAGCACCGAACCAGCGATCCTCCTGCGGGCCTTGAAGAGGCAAACTATCGTGTTGTGGAAAGGGCCAGGGGCAGCAGGTGGCAGGTGCCCTCTAGGGATTGAGGAATCTACCAAGAAAACGGGACCCCTGTCGTTCAAGCATTAAGGAAATGAGTTCTGCACACGAGTTGTGAGTGCAGGAGAGGACCCCACGCCCTGAGAGGCCACAGCCCGCCGATGCCCTCGCTGCAGCTCCGGGACATCCTAAGCAGAGGGCCAGACTGGACCGCCCCGGGCTCCTCACCTGTGGAAACTGAGATCACAAGTGTGCGCTGTTCTAAGCCGCCAAGTTTGCGGTGACGTATTACGCATCGCCAGACGATGAAAACAACGGGCACGTGCTATTGTGAAAGGGCCTCTGCGATGGTTCTGACATTCAGGACATCCGATCGCATTTTAGCCTCGCCCCAGCGCCCTCACCCGTCCGCGATGCCCGTGTGCCCTCACTGCGAGGCTGTGAGGCGGCACCATTCAGCGCCCTCTGCTCGCCCGGCTTCCTCCTGGCTGCCGCTCCCGCGCCCCAGGCTGGGTCACTCGCCTCTCCTCAGAGATCACCCTCTGGTTCACGTCCTTAGTCGTGGAGCGCGAGGACCCTACTCTCCAGACCTCAGGGAGCCAATCAGAAATAGGCTGGTTTACCTGCACATTCACAGAGACACACTTCTACAGCGAACACAGCCTTTCCGTCACTAGGCAGACCCCGTCGCCACCACGTTCTGAGGCATCAACAGGCAGACGCCTTCCAAACGCTTACGTTTTCCCTGAGAAACGAGGTCATTGCCACGTGACTGAAAGAGCCAGCAAAGTTAGAGTGACCCCAAATCAAAGGGAGGTCACCTTCGAGTGTCCCGATTCACCCTGAACCACACCAAGGCTACGCCTTTAAAAGTGCAGTTTCCCCCTCTAGGATGTCAGTCTTTGGATGCTTCCGTTATTAAAAATAAAAATAAATTCACGTCCATTAGGATGACTACGACTTTTAAAAAGAACAGAAAATAACAACTGTTGGTGAAGAAGGGGAGAACCGAAACCCTCCCGTATTGCTGGCGGAAACGCAGTTTGACACTTCCTCAAAAAAATTAAACATAGAATTTCCATGTGGTCCGGCAGTCCCACCTCTGGATACAGACCCGAAATAATTCAAAGCAGAGACTCAGACAGCAATGCGCACGGCCACGTTCACAGCAGCGGCATCCGCAACAGGCAAAAAGCGGAAACAATTCAAGCGTCCACTGACAGATGCTGGGTACACACAGTGTGGTCCTCTGCTGCGATGGAGTATTATCCAGCCTTAAAAAGGAAGGAGGTTCTGATACCTGCCACCACGTGGATGGACCCTGGGGACACTATACTCAGTGAATAAGCCAGACACAGAAGGACAGATACTGTGCGATTCTACTCACAGGAGGTCCCCAGAGGAGTCAGATTCACAGAGACAGGAAGTAGATGATGGAGCCAGGGGCTGGGGGAGGGGTGGGGAGTGCGTGTGAAATGGGGACAGAGTGTCATTTTGGGAAGATGAGGAAGTTCTGGAGATAGACGGTGGGGACGGTGGCACAGCAACGTGTGTGTGCTTGATGCTGCTGAGCTGTGCACTTAAAATCAGCTGAAATTGTTCTATAAATGGTATTTCATGCTGTAAATAGTTTGCCAGAATAAAAATAAAATACATAAAAATAAGAATAAATTAACGAGGTACTATGTAGAAGGAGGCAAACCGGTCACTTCCCAATATTCACAAAAGTATCACGCCCGAGATTTTAAACTCGGCACTGGCTTTTCCTCGTGCAGCCCCGTGGGCCTTGGAGCATGCGCTCCCCCGTCCCGACTGGCAGATCTCCCGGAAGCAAAACGTCTCTGTGTTTCCGTTTCCTGTTTGTCTGTCTGCTTTTGCCTCCCCAGCTGGGCCTGGAGCGGTTCCACGGAGTCGGCATCCTGGGCTTTAACTCTGCGGAGTGGTTGATCGCTTCTCTAGGCACCATCCTAGCCGGGTAAGAGCGTGCGTGAGTTCACTGTCAACGTCGATGAGTCCTGGGCTGCTCCGGGCAGCGGCGTGAACGGGGAGTTCAGACGCAGCCCCAGGTCGGCAGGTGAGACAGACACACAAGCCCATCGACTGACCAAAGACTGGTGTTTCAAATATATGAGGTGGTTCTAGAACTCGGTAATAAAAAGACAAAAAGCTTTTAAATGGGCAAAGAACTTGAACAAGAAACGTCGCAAGGCAAAATAGGCTATAAGGACTTGAAAAGATGCTCGATGTCAGCCGTCAGGGAAATGCACAGTAAAACCACAGAGAAATGGTTAAAGGCGAGGCCAAATGGCTGCGGATGAAGGGAACAGGCGGCTCCAAACCCCACCTCTGGCGTTTGTTATTTCCATGGCACCCGGAACGAGTGACTTCACTGCGCCGAGCCTCAGTTTCCTCATCTGTGAGATGGGGTGCTTGCGAGGGTTCCGTGATCCGATGTCATAATGACATCACAGGAGCTGCCGCTTTCATCACCGCTATCATTTCTGGTTTTGTCGTCAAGTTGTGGGGGGAGGCGAGCTTGTGCCAAGGCCGCGAACTCAGAACTTGCCTGCAGACCTTCCCCCTCCCCCCACTTCCAGGACATTCTCCCATTAAGGAGCGTGTGTGCGTGCGTGTGCACGCGCGTGCGTGCCACATGCATGTGTGTTTTCTTTCCCCAGGGGCCTGTCTGTCGGAATCTATGCCACCAACTCTGCAGAGGCTTGTCAGTATGTCATCACTCGTGCCAAAGTGAACATCTTGCTGGTTGAAAATGACCTACAGCTACAGAAAATCCTTTCGGTAAACCCCTGCCCAGTGCTGCCCTCCAGTCTCCCAGGGGACGGGAGGGCCCAGGCCGGTGTCTTTCTGCTCCCAGGGGGGTGCTATCAATCAGGCGGGGTGCTGGGGCTCGCGGGCTCAGGCTCACTGAGGGTCCTTCACAAACACGTGGGCATAACAGGCAAGGCTGCTTTTGGGGGCGGCAAGGCAGAGTGGGGAAGTTTAATTTCCGAGTCATGTTAACTTAATTTCCTACTCAGCCTCCATTTAAAAAATGTGGTTACTTATTATTTTATGTACAGTCCACTGTTATTTTTCTTTTAGAAGTATGATTATTTCGAGCCTTGTAATTTTCTGCATTTCTGCAATGCTT